CACTCGGTTCCACTTCGGAATTTCGTCAAATCGGCTCTCTTCCTGACTTATTGGCATCATTAAAACCTTGCTGAATCCAAGAAACGTCTGGACTCATGGGCTCTTATCTCTAACGACCACAAGAGTGCTGTTTGTTGCTGGCTACTTGGCGTATTGGGCCAGTGCGGCGTTCTGTGCTCAGCAACCACAAAAAAACAATCTCATATTTACACGTAAGAGGTTTTTGGGTTAGATCGTCCAAATATAAACGTGTCGTGAAACCCGCCATCACCCGGCGCTGAGTAAAATCCACGCTCCAGCACACAACCGGTTAGCGCTGAACTAGTAACGAATTATAGGAATAGGTTTTACCTATTCAAGGCATCATGTTTGCAATAACCACAACACAAGCAGTCAAAATGCAAACAAAAAAGACAACTCTGATAATAATATGCACTGTCCTTGAATTTGATTGGTCCACACCCGAGACAGCTTTTCTTAGAGCCTAGTCTCCATTGGCATTAGACCAGAAGACGCCAAAAGGCTTACAACTCAAAAACAGCGCACTATCAGAGTATTGAGGGCTCGGGGTGAGCATTTACATTATGAGACCTCCTTTGCCAGTAACAAGATAAAAAACTGACACCTTTATTCAAGGCATCATGTTTGCAATAACCACAACACAAGCAGTCAAAATGCAAACAAAAAAGACAACTCTGATAATAATATGCACTGTCCTTGAATTTGATTGGTCCACACCCGAGACGGCTTTTCTTAGAGCCTAGTCTCCATTGGTGTTGTACCAGAAGACGCCAAAAGGCGTACAACTTATCTTGTTACTGGCAAAGGAGGTCTCATAATGTAAATGCTCACCCCGAGCCCTCAATACTCTGATAGTGCGCAGTTTTTGAGTTGTACGCCTTTTGGCGTCTTCTGGTCCAACACCAATGGAGACTAGGCTCTAAGAAAAGCCGTCTCGGGTGTGGACCAATCAAATTCAAGGACAGTGCATATTATTATCAGAGTTGTCTTTTTTGTTTGCATTTTGACTGCTTGTGTTGTGGTTATTGCAAACATGATGCCTTGAATAAAGGTGTCAGTTTATGTGCCAGTTAAAATGGTAAAACCTATTCCTATATCTTGTTACTGGCAAAGGAGGTCTCATAATAGTAACGAATTGTAAATGTTGTAGTGGGTTTACTCTACAACACACAAGCGGTTAGTGATGTACTAGTAACGAATTGTAAATGTTGTAGTGGGTTTATTCTCCAACACACAACCGGTTAGTGCTGTAATAGTAACGAATTGTCAATGTTGTAGTGGGTTTCCTCTCCAGCACACAACCGGTTAGAGCTGAACTAGTAACGAATTGTAAATGTTGTAGTGGGTTTACTCTCCAACACACAAGCGGTTAGTGATGTACTAGTAACGAATTGTAAATGTTGTAGTGGATTTACTCTCCAACACAACCGGTTAGTGCTGAACCAGTAACTAATTGTCAATGTTGTAGTGGGTTTACTCTCCAACACACAACCTGTTAGTGATGTACTGGTAACGAATTGTAAATGTTGTAGTGGGTTTATTCTCCAACACACAACCGGTTAGTGCTGTACTAGTAAGGAATTGTCAATGTTGTAGTGGGTTTAGTCTCCAACACACAACCGGTTATTGCTGTACTAGTAACGAATTGTAAATCTTGTAGTGGGTTTACTCTCCAACGCGCAACCAGTTAGTGATGTACTAGTAACGAATTGTCAATGTTGTAGTGGGTTTACTCTCCAACACACAACCGGTTAGTGCTGTACTAGTAACGAATTGTAAATGTTGTAGTGGGTTTACTCTCCAACACACAACCGGTTAGTGCTGTACTAGTGACGAATTGTCAATGGTGTAGCGGGTTTACTCTCCAACACACAACCGGTTAGTGCTGTACTAGTAACGAATTGTAAATGTTGTAGTGGGTTTACTCTCCAACACACAACCGGCTAGTGCTGAACTAGTAACGAATTGTAAATGTTGTAGTGGGTTTACTCTCCAACACACAACCGGTTAGTGCTGTACTAGTAACGAATTGTAAATGTTGTAGTGGGTTTACTCTCCAACACACAACCGGTTAGTGCTGTACTAGTAACGAATTGTAAATGTTGTAGTAGGTTTACTCTCCAACACACAACCAGTTAGTGCTGAACTAGTAACGAATTGTAAATGTTGTAGTGGGTTTACTCTCCAACACACAACCTGTTAGTGATGTACTAGTCACGAATTATAACTGTTGTAGTGGGTTTACTCTCCAACACACAACCGGTTAGTGCTGAACTAATAACGAATTGTAAATGTAGTGGGTTTACTCTCCAACACACAACCTGTTAGTGATGAACTAGTAACGAATTGTAACTGTTGTAGTGGGTTTACTCTCCAACACACAACCGGTTAGTGCTGTACTAGTAACGAATTGTAAATGTTGTAGTTGGTCTACTCTCCAACACACAACCGGTTAGTGCTGTACTAGTAACGAATTGTAAATGTTGTAGTGTATTTACTCTCCAACACACAACCGGTTAGTGCTAAACTAATAACGAATTGTAAATGTTGTAGTGGGTTTACTCTCCAACACACAACCGGTAAGTGATGTACTAGTAACGAATTGTCAATGTTGTAGTTGGTTTACTCTCCAACACACAACCGGTTAGTGCTGTACTAGTAACGAATTGTAAATGTTGTAGTGGGTTTATTCTCCAACACACAATCGGTTAGTGATGTACTAGTAACGAATTGTAAATGTTGTAGTGGGTTTACTCTCCAACACACAACCTGTTAGTGATGTACTAGTAACGAATTGTTAATGTTGTAGTGGGTTTACTCTCCATCACACAACCTGTTAGTGATGTACTAGTAACGAATTGTAAATGTTGTAGTGTATTTACTCTCAAACACACAAGCGGTTAGTGCTAAACTAATAACGAATTGTTAATGTTGTAGTGGGTTTACTCTCCAACACACAGCCGGTTAGTGATGTACTAGTAACGAATTGTAAATGTTGTAGTGGGTTTACTCTCCAACACACAACCGGTTAGTGCTGAACTAGTAACGAATTGTTAATGTTGTAGTGGGTTTACTCTCCAACACACAACCGGTTAGTGCGGAACTAGTAACAAATTGTAAATGTTGTAGTGGGTTTACTCTCCAACACACAACCTGTTAGTGATGTACTAGTAACGAATTGTAACTGTTGTAGTGGGTTTACTCCCCAACACACAACCGGTTATTGCTGAACTAGTAACGAATTGTTAATGTTGTAGTGAGTTTACTCTCCAACACACAACCGGTTAGTGCTGAACTAGTTACGAATTGTCAATGTTGTAGCGGGTTTACTCTCCAACACAAACCTGTTAGTGATGTACTAGTAACGAATTGTAACTGTTGTAGTGGGTTTACTCTCCAACACACAACCGGTTAGTGCTGAACTAGTAACGAATTGTAAATGTTGTAGTGGGTTTACTCTCCAACACACAACCTGTTAGTGATGTACTAGCAACGAATTGTAAATGTTGTAGTGGGTTTACTCCCCATCACACAACCTGTTAGTGATGTACTAGTAACGAATTGTAAATGTTGTAGTGGGTTTACTCTCCAACACACAACCTGTTAGTGATGTACTAATAACGAATTGTAAATGTTGTAGTAGGTTTACTCTCCAACACACAACCAGTTAGTGCTGTACTAGTAACGAATTGTAAATGTTGTAGTGGGTTTACTCTCCAACACACAACCGGTTAGTGCTGAACTAGTAACGAATTGTTAATGTTGTAGTGAGTTTACTCTCCAACACACAACCGGTTAGTGCTGAACTAGTAACGAATTGTCAATGTTGTAGTGGGTTTACTCTCCAACACACAACCGGTTAGTGCTGAACTAGTAACGAATTGTTAATGTTGCAGTGAGTTTACTCCCCAACACACAACCGGTTAGTGCTGTACTAGTAACGAATTGTAAATGTTGTAGTGGGTTTACTCTCCAACACACAACCGGTTAGTGCTGTACTAGTAACGAATTGTAAATGTTGTAGTGGGTTTACACTCCAACACATAACCGGTTAGTGCTGTACTAGTAACGAATTGTAAATGTTGTAGTGGGTTTACTCTCCAACACACAACCTGTTAGTGATGTACTAGTAACGAATTGTAAATGTTGTAGTGGGTTTACTCTCCAACACACAACCGGTTAGTGCTGAACTAGTAACGAAATGTTAATGTTGTAGTGGGTTTACTCTCCAACACACAACCTGTTAGTGGTGAACTAGTAACAAATTGTAACTGTTGTAGTGGGTTTACTCTCCAACACACAACCTGTTAGTGATGTACTAGTAACGAATTGTAAATATTGTAGTGGGTTTACTCTCCAACACACAACCTGTTAGTGATGTACTAGTAACGAATTGTCAATGTTGTAGTGGGTTTACTCTCCAACACACAACCTGTTAGTGATGTACTAGTAAACGAATTGTCAATGTTGTAGTGGGTTTACTCTCCAACACACAACCTGTTAGTGATGTACTAGTAACGAATTGTAAATATTGTAGTGGGTTTACTCTCCAACACACAACCGGTTAGTGCTGAACTAGTAACGGCCACGTTCTGTTTCCGTGACAACCCCCTTACTAATTGGCTGTGTCGGGTGGTAGCGGGTTTAACGACACATTTATATTCACGCGACCTAACCACCCCTCCCCCTCAATAAAAAAAGAAACCCCTCTGTTATAGATAATATTGGTTGCGAAAGCCTCTGACCACGTGTTAAACTGATCTTTCATACTTTCATACATGAATCGATGCCATCGAGGGTAGTGGTAGATGTCATTACGCAACGCCGCTAAATCACGACTCTCCTTCCAAGTCACCGGGGCGGCGGCGGGGGGGCTGGGGGGGGGGTGGCCCGGCTTAGCGCGCCCATCCCACCGCAAGTCCAATTCAACTGCGACGCCCAATGACTGTTGTTGTTGTTGTTGTGAAGTTATTGTGAAGTTATTGTGAAGTTATTGTGAGGTTATTGTGGAGTGCGTTTCGGGTTATTCTGACGGGTGACAAGTGAGATGCGTATAAAAGCCGAGCACCAGCTCCCAACGCCGATCAGAGGCACTGACGCGCCGTTCCTTCACAGCAGCAGAGATGTCGTGAGTATGAGAGCATCGATCTTGGTTTGTTAAGCTTTCGTGACTGCAGCAATCCAAACTACTTGGTTCTTTCGGTAAAGTCACGTGGGTAGGTAGAAATGAAATTATTTAACGCAATTATTTTATTTCTACCCACGTGACTTTACCGAAAGGACCAAAGAGTACGAGAGCATCGTGATGATCGCGGTGTATCGGCATTGCGAGGTCATCGTGATGATCGCTGTGTATCGGCATTGCGAGGTCATCGTGATGATCGCGGTGTATCGGCATTACGAGGTCATCGTGATGATCGCGGTGTATCGGCATGACGATAGCATCGTGATGATCACGGTGTATCGGCATTGCGAGGTCATCGTGATGATCGCGGTGTATCGGCATGACGATAGCATCGTGATGATCGCGGTGTATCGGCATGACGATAGCATCGTGATGATCGCGGTGTATCGGCATGACGAGAGCTTCGTAATCGTCACGGTGTATCCGTCAGTACGTGAGTATCGTAACGGCGATGCTACCGTGGTGCGATTATCAACGCAACGGCCTCGCAATCCAGGGATCGCCAGTTCGATTCCATCTCCCGGCACGGCGGTGTTGCGGCAAGCGTCTTAAAAATTCCGCCCTCCGCCTCGGTCTCCACGCAGCAGCAGCAGCAGCAGCGTGAATAGGTAGCGACCGCGGTTTGGTCTACTATTATCGGGCAGGTCACGTGTGGTGGTGGTGGTGGTGGGGTAAAGTGTGGGTAACTCCCACCTCGGTTTGGCCTAATATGATGGGGCAGGTGGCGTGTGGTGGTGGTGGTGGTGGTGTAGCGGTCAGCGCTACCGTGCGCTACGAACCCGGCGACCCCGAGTTTGATTCCCGCTCACGGTCAACACCGGTGACGATTATCTGAACCGGTCCTGGGCCATAGGTCGACTCAGCCTCAAATGAGAAACTTGATGCGGTGTGTAGTAAACATCGCCACTGGGGGAGACAAAGGCGGCCGGGCGTTGTGTTGGACACCCACCCCCTCGTGTGCCGTGTCGGCCTTCGTAGGTGCTCGCTAACAGCACACGGGGGATCTTTGTCTTTGTTTTGGTCTGGCCTGTGTGTGATGCCGCTCTCGAAACTATTTTGGCCAAAGACAAAAACAACAACAACAACAAATGAGGCTACGTGAAGTGTCGAAGTGCTCGCTGCTGACAGCAGGTAACGGGACAGACCCAGCAGGTGCCATGGGTTGGCTGACTGAGATGACCGCCACCACCACAGTTACATGTTGGACTCTCATTAAGTTCCCAATGATGGAGAAAGTTTCCCACAATCTTCCACGGAGTGTCCGGCATCCGATTCAAGGAGGGACCAGGATCTTCCTCGGTAGGTCAGATCCCGGTTGCAGGATTGTGGGGGTCGCTGATGATGGACCGAGACTTTAAAATAAAATCGTCTCCAGGCATTTTGTGAACACACGCGCACACACACACACACACAGCAACCCCAAGTTGGGGAGCTATAGAGTTAGCCCAGATAGATGTTGCGATCTGGCGTGCCGTGTCAGCGTCTACCCATTTCCTCTACCCATTGTTTGCCGCCTGATCCTCTCTCTACCCATTGTCTGCCGCGCGATACCCCACCCATTGTCTGCTGCGCAGCAAACAATGGGTAGAGAGAGGATCAGGCGGCAAGCAATGGGTGGGGGATCGCACGGCAAACAATAGGTAGAGAATCGCACGGCAAACAATGGGTGGGGTACCCATTGTTTGCCGCGCAATACCCCACCCATTGTTTGCCGCGTGATACCCCACCCATTGTTTGCTGCGCAATACCCCACCAATTGTTTGCCGCGTTATACCCCACCCATTGTTTGCCGCGCGATCCACTACCATTTGGGCCTCGGATCCCACCCCCCACCCCGCCCAAAATAAAAAAAAACCCACAAATGGTGCCGGTGAGAAAGTCTCTTTGGGGGCTGCCCGGATACGGGGTGTGGGGGGGGCTGGGGGAGGTCACGATGCCAACTCCAAAGCGCACATCAGCAAAATGAAGCGTGCACATCAAGAGGGCAATGCAATATTTTAACAATTGCGTTTAAAACTTCGGATCACAATTTCTTTCGCGATTCCCCACGGTCCCTGGGAACAGGCATCTGCCCCGCGGAGTGCCGCTGAACTATTCCACGCGCTCACTCCGGGGAAGCTGGCTTCCAAAATTGCGAGATTGTTCCCGATTTGGCCAACGTGACTTTTGTTTTGTCGTCGGGAATTGACGAGACGCAGCGATTGGCGTGGCACCAACGTCTGTAAATATATACACATATAGCTCATTGCAGGGTGCTTCAAAGGCATTTTGTAACGCTTACGTGGGAATATCGTTTTTGAATGGAAAAGGAACGGACACAATATACTGTAACGTGATAACAAATGTCATGTCATTAGCTTCACAGAGGTCTCTCTCACTTGTTCTACCCATCGTTGTCAACGCGTGCCTGGAGCCTTCTCCCGGTGGTCTTCAGAGCCCTGGGGAGGCGGCATATTTCTTCGCGATGTTGTTGAAAATTCTTGGAAGTGTTAAGCGCCCTGTACTACCTGAACGTTTAAACGTTTGATTGACGGCAGAGGAGGAGGCCGAACGAATCATCGGGCCGGGGGGGGGGGGGGGGTTGAGGCTGGAACCGCTCCAATCTGGGTCTCGAACCGGGGTTTTAAGTCTCGGAAGTTTCATGGCATCAGACCGGTTACAATTGCCTGCAATAAAAACCGCCCAATCACGTGAAATGAGGCATCCTCTCAGTTTTGGTTCAACTCCAGCCGTGAGAGCCAGAAGTCGTGGTCTCACCGCCATACGACGTGGAGGCCGAGGGGCGTGGTCATTACTCTCAGTGCGCCGGTTACCGCCAAGGGCTTCTCAGAGGTAGCTCTATGATATTTGCTTTCACGGGCTGTTCACTTGACGAAGCAACGGCCTGAGCAGGCCTTCATCCATGGCTGATGATGACCACAATGGTGGTGGTGGTGATGATGATGATGATAATGGTGAAGGTGGTGACAGTGGTGATGGTGGTGGTGGTGATGGTGGTGATGAAGGTGGTGGTGGTGGTGACGGTGTCTCTGCACGTGCGTGCCCCCCCCCTCCCCACCCCCCAGCACTAACCTCGTGACCCCGGCGGTGGCGGCGTTGGCGGTGGTGTTCATGGCGAGCGTCGTGGCGGCGACGTCCGTCGACGACTGGAAGCTCCTGGACACGACGCTGCCGGCGAACCAGGAGGTCATCGTGAACGTTCACAACGAGCTGCGGCGCAACGTGGCGCCGACTGCCAGCAACATGCTCAAGATGGTGAGGACACGCGGAAAGGCGGCGTCCACCGCCCCCCATTATGTGGCCCCCCACACACTCCACCCATCCTCCGATTGGCAGGGTCGGGCTACGTACGGTGCGGAAGAAGTTCAACGTACCCGGCACGGACACGCACAGTCACTCACGCACTCGCATAGTCACACACCCACACGCGTAGTCACTCACCCACTCGCATAGTGACTCACACACTCGCATAGTCACTCACCCACTCGCATAGTCACTCACTCACTCGCATAGTCACTCACCCACTCACACAGTCACTAAACCACTCACACAGTCACTCACCCACTCGCATAGTCACTCACCCACTCGCACAGTCACTCACGCACTCGCATAGTCACTCACACACTCGCATAGTCACTCACACACTCGCAAAGTCACTCACCCACTCGCATAGTCACTCACCCACACGCGTAGTCACTCACCCACTCGCATAGTCACTCACTCACTCGCATAGTCACTCACCCACTCACACAGTCACTAAACCACTCACACAGTCACTCACCCACTCGCATAGTCACTCACCCACTCGCATAGTCACTCACACACTCGCAAAGTCACTCATCCACTCGCATAGTCACTCACCCACACGCGTAGTCACTCACACACTCGCATAGTCACTCACCAACTCGCATAGTCACTCACCCACTCACACAGTCACTCACCCACTCGCATAGTCACTCACCCACTCGCATAGTCACTCACCCACTCGCATAGTCACTAACCCACTCACATAGTCACTCACACACTCACATAGTCACTCACACACTCGCATAGTCACTCACCCACCCACATAGTCACTCACATAGTCACTCAACCACACGCATAGTCACTGACCCACTCGCATAGTCACTCACACACTCGCATAGTCACTCACCCACTCACATAGTCACTCACCCACACACATAGCCACTCACCCAAACACTCACCCATCCCCCCATTAGCACGTTCGGCTACGTATGGCGCGAAAGAAGTTCAACGTACGTACGTGTGGGTGCACGTACGTGTATGTGGGTGCGCCAAGTCAAAGTTCGTCTTTGTTAATCCGCGAGAGACCACGATCAGTTACCCCACACCGCCATTCCCACTTTGCACGAGGGACCTGACAGCGAGGGGGCCTCCCAGTGAGGTCACGGTGTTGACGTGACCTCAGCCACGTGACCTCAGCCACGTGGCCCAGAGGCGGCCCGCACCGATCGAGGGTGTCGTGGCACCCCCCCCCCCCCCCCCCGGGGTTCGCTCCTCTGTCGAGGGGATTGTGCAGGGTGATCAAAACAAATGTTAACACTTCTGAGAATTTGCAGCAACGCCACGAGAAATGTGCCTCCCACGGGCTCTGTAGACCATCTGGAGAAGCTTCCAGGCACGTGTTGGCAATGATGGCGAACAAGTGGGAGATACTTTTTGACATGTTGAAGCTATTCACATCACATTTGTTATCGTGTTACAGTGTATTATTATCCGTTCTTTTTCCATTAAAAACGATAGCCCCACGTGAGTGTTAACATTTTTTAAGCACCCTGTAATCATTTTAGTTTTTATTAATAATGATGCGATTTACTGTAGTGGTGGTTGATGATGATGATGATGAGAATCCCTAGAAGGCTCGTTACAGGTCACTGCATGGACCAACCACAGCTGAGATTCAGACACAATGATTTAGACGAAGATTTAGTCACGATGATTTAAACACAACGATTTAAAAAGAATGATTCAGACACAGTGATTCAGACACAAAGATTTAGACACAATGATTTAGTCACGATGATTTAAACACGACGATTTAGACACAATGATTCAGACACTAAGATTTAGACACAATGATTTAGTCACGATGATTTAAACACGCCGATTTAGACAGAATGACTTAGATACAATGATTTAGAAACAACGAGTCAGGTACGATGACTTAGATACAATGATTGAGCCACGATCCTTTAGACAAGATTATTTAGACGCAACGATTTAGACACAACGATTTAGACAGAACGATTTAGACAATTATTTACACACTGATTTAGACACAAACACAACAGACAGCCCAGCAGAGCCACGGGACAGACTAATGCTGGGTCTCCCACCTGAGCACTCAGTTGCATGCGACTCGGTTGCATACGCGGACGTGTCTCTGCAACCGGTTGCGAGCAAATTGCGCTTTCCGCTCGGTTGCGTTTGCTCCTCCGCAGCGGCGAGCAGAGGCTTCGCCTTCAAGCGGTGACCTGCTCGGCGATTTTGTAAAAACAGAAGACGGATTTCACTTCCCACTTGTGTGCGTGTCGTGGGGTCTTACACCACCATACCTCACCACGCTGGGGAATTTGCCGATTTGCTAGAGAGGGGGTGGAGGCGGGGGCGTCAGTGGGGTGGGTGGGATGGAGGGGTGAGTTGGTGGGGTGAGTGGGTGGGATGGAGGGGTGAGTGGGTGGGTGGGGTAGACGGCTGAGTGGGTGGGTGAGTGGAGGGGTGAGTGGGTGGGTGAGTGGAGGGGTGAGTTGGTGGGGTGGAGGGGTGAGTGGGTGGGATGGAGGGGTGAGTGGGTGGGTGGGGTAGACGGCTGAGTGGGTGGGTGAGTGGAGGGGTGAGTGGGTGGGTGAGTGGGTGGGTGAGTGGAGGGGTGAGTGGAGGGGTGAGTGGGATCGAGGGGTGAGTGGGTGGGTGGGTGTGGGTGGGTGAGTGGGATGATGGTGGTGGTGGTGGTGGCGGCACAGCCTGACTGAGTGTGTTGGGGCTTCTCCGCTGCAGGCGTACAACGAGCAGGCGGCGGGGAACAGCCGCCTGTCGGCGGCGGCCTGCAGCTCCACCCACAGCGCCAGGAGCGCGCGCACCTGGAAGACGCCACAAGCAGGTGAAACAAGCTTTCGTGACTGCAGGGAATTCATATTCTTAGGGTCTTTCGGTAAAGTCACGTAGATTGAACAACAAAAAATGACATTAAAATAATAAAAATGAAGTGAATAATAAAAAAAATAATAAAAAATATCACGACGTTTCGATCGCAACACAAGCAATCGTCATCAGGATAAAAAAAAATAGAAGCAAAGCTGCTGAGGCAGGCTGTTTTAAAGGTTTGAAATGGGTGTAGCCCACGGGTCATAAGCGAAGTGGGCGGGGCTAGTGATGTTAAAGTGAGCAATTTGCATGTCAATGTAAGATCGGAGAGCTACCTCCACGACGAGGGCATGGAGGTGGCCATTGTATAGTGAGAGATTAGCATGTCAATGTAAGATCGCAGAGCCGCCGCCACATCGAGGACACGAGCGACGGCGGCTGTGTTAGTGTGAGACATTTAACCTGTTAATGTAAAATCAGAGATCAGCATGTCAATGTAAGATCACAGAGCCGCCGCCACATAGAGGACACGAGCAACGGCGGCTGTGCTAGTGTGAACCTGTTAATGTAAAATAAGAGAATCGAAAATAACTAACATTGGAAGGTAGGATGGAAACATCACAGCCAGTTATGACTTAAACTGGTTAATAACGTCCTTCCAATGATTGCTCAGTTTGTACCCATCTTCTCGATTGAAATTGTGTCTGTGTCTATCTGGATGGCTTCATGAACGAATCTTTGTTGATAGCCAGTGGGTTTGCAGAGTACCTTCGTCTTGGAGAAATCAATTTCATGTGAGCCCACTGCATGAAAACAATGATCAGCCACGGCTGAGGTATTGGTCCTACCATGTTTCAGATCTGCCTTATGTTCACGAACACGGTCCGAGACATATCGCTTAGTTTCCCCAATGTAACTACTGCCGCAGACACAGCTTAGTTTGTAGACGCCGGGGTATTGCATGTCAGGGATCACATCCTTCACAGTTGGGATCAGATCACGAATTTTATGTAGTGTTAAATCGAACCTGGATCTTGTGTTTGCTCATGATTTTGGAAATATTTTGGTGACCCCTGCTATGTATGGCAAGGTGATGGTTTTCATTGGGTACTCAGATGGTTCTTTCCCAATGGTTGGGGTGATAACTTTATGGATTGTGTAGCCTGAATATCCATTCATCTTGAGGGCTTGGTGTATGTGTTCCAGTTCACTGGCTAGGTGGTGAAGGTCGGAAATACATCGAGCTCTATGGTGTAGAGTTTTGATGAGGGAATTCTTCTGGGATGGATGGTGGTGGGAGTCATGTTTTAGATAGGCATCCGTGTGGGTGGCTTTCCTGTAGACAGAGTGTCCCATTGAGCCATCTGGTCTCTTTTCGATTAAAACATCCAAGAATGGTAACTTGCCATCCTTTTCCGCCTCCATGGTGAATTTGATGGCTGGGTGTATGGAATTGATGTGGTTGAGGAATTGGTTCAGAGCTGGTAGGCCATGTGGCCAAATGACGAATGTGTCATCTACGTACCTCTTCCACAAGGACGGACGTATAGTGGATGCCTAGATGGCATCTGTCTCAAAATTTTCCATGAAAACATCGGCTACATCTGGAGATAAGGGAGAACCCATTGGGGTACCTTCAACTTGTTTATAGAATGTTCCATTCCAGGTGAAGTAAGTGTTGGTGAGGCAGTGTTTAACTAGTGGCGGTACATCAGCATTCAGTCCTTGTTGGACCAAATCTTCAATGATTGCAATGGTGTCAGGCACAGGAACTTTGGTAAACAAAGATACTACATCGAAACTAATGAGCAAATCATCTGGAGATAGTGAGATGTCCTTAATTAACGATACCAAGTGAGCTGAGTTAAGTACAGCTGAGGCGGTCTTACCAGTGAATGTGTGTAAGGTCTCAGACAGAAATCGGGCCAATTTGCAGGTGGGTGAGTCAATGGTGGAGACGATAGGACAGAGTGGTGTACCTTCTTTATGGAATTTTGGTAAGCCATACAATCTGGATGGTCTAGCAGCAGAGGGTTTTAATGAAAACCACTTGGTTGGTTCGACTAAAGATGCCGAATCAGTGATGATATTGTTGGTTTTCATAACCAGGCGGTTGGTGGGATATCTATTGATTTTGGTATAGCTACCATCATTAAGTAGGTCCTGAATTTTGTAATTGTACGTGGTTTTGTCAATGATGACTGCGGCCATTGCCCTTGTCGGTTGAGAGGATGACTATGTCATCTCTCTTTTTTAATTGCGAAAACTCAAAGCGCTCATCCTTACTGATGTTGCTAATAGGTGTCTTCGCGTTTTTGAGGAGTGCAGTGATTTCCGATCTTGCCACGTCTGCAGGAATGTGTCCCAAACCCTTAAGGGCTACGTCGACCTGGGCAATGATATCACCAACTAGGATGGGTTTAGAGGTGACTGCGAAATTCAACCCTTTTGCTAGAACCGATTTTAGACTGTAGGAAATTGGACGGTTACTCTGATTGATAACAATCTTGTCAACAATAAAATAATAAAAAATATATAAAACAATAAAAACATTCTCACGACGTTTCGACCATAACACAAACGGTTGTCACCTGATGACGACCGTTTGTGTTATGGTCGAAACATAGTTAGAATTTTTTATTGCTTTATATATATTTTATTATTTTATTGTTTCCCTTCAACGTGACTTTACCGAAAGAGCTAATAATATGAATTACTGCAATCACGAAAGCTTTAAATCAAAATCTTGTCAACGTCTAACTTTTTAACGTGTGGCGCTGGCTCCTTCTTGGAAAGGAGGTTGAACTTGGAAATCAGGTTATCTTTGCATTTAGCTGACATTGAGGCGGCTGAAGAGGCGTTCATGTTTTCTTAATGTTCCCAATGAGATGTAGACATTTTTTCTGTCAATATTAAGTGTGATTTCACAAGAGTCTTGTCTAAATTGCTTTGACTTTAACATAGCTATTTCTATGACCAGTCACAAGCTAATCCGTCAGTTATTTCAATGCTAAATTCTCCTGTTTGATTTGTACTAGGTGCCTCTGTGGATGTGTAGGCTTTGACTTTAACATAGCCATTTCTGTGACCAGTCACAAGCTAATCACTCAGCCATTTCAATGCTAAATTCTCCTGTTTGATTTGTACTAGGTGCCTCTGTGGATGTGTAGGCTTTGACTTTAACATAGCTATTTCTATGACCAGTCACAAGCTAATCCCTCAGTTATTTCAATGCTAAATTCTCCTGTTTGATTTGTACTAGGTGCCTCTGTGGATGTGTAGGCTTTGACTTTAACATAGCCATTTCTGTGACCAGTCACAAGCTAATCACTCAGCTATTTCAATGCTAAATTATCCTGTTTTATTTGTACTAGGTGCCTCTGTGGATGTGGAGGCTTTGACTTTAACATATCTATTTCTATGACCAGTCACAAGCGAATCACTGAGTTATTTCAATGCTAAATTCTCCTGTTTGATTTGTACTAGGTGCCTCTGTGGATGTGTAGGCTTTGACTTTAACGTAGCCATTTCTGTGACCAGTCACAAGCTAATCACGCAGCTATTTCAATGCTAAATTATCCGAACCAAACATTAAACTAATTTTCAATGGTACAGTATATTTTTTCAAGTAGTGGTATCCCAAACTTTCGCAGCAGCTTAAATTCTCTTTTCACACCATCAATATGTAAACTCCCCCTCCCTCGCTCGCCGGTCTGCACATGTTCACCCCCTCTACACCGTTCATCATGCTAAGTCCGCCAATTAAATGCTAATTTTTTATGCTAATTCCTTTGTCAAGGCGCTCTGTTTCTTCTCACACAGCTTAAAGGTCGCGGTCTGAGCTTGGCTGTGTTCGCTCCAGCGCTGTCCTCAAGACAGTCCCGTCCCTTCACCTGATGAAGGCCACTTGTGTTGTGGCCGAAACGTCGTGAGAATTTTATTGTGTTATTTTATTTCATTATTTTATTCTCATTCTACGTGACTTTACCGAAGAAGCAAAGAAGATGAATCCTTGCAGTCACGAAAGCTTTAAATCTAAAATTAATTGTCTAGTTCAAATCGGAGCAATCTTATTCTTTCTGAGATCAGGGCTAGGCCAACCCTGAAGATGATCCGTTTAGCATTAGGAGAAGTGACAGCAGCAGACATCAGTGTAAAGGCAATCGGTATCACCCTAGTGTCGCGCTATCTCTTCAGAAATGTGAGCGACTCAATCAGGTGACCCTTCACTTTATTTTCATTTTTTTTTCTATCTACGTGACTTTACCGAAAGACCCAAAGAATATACAACAAGAACCACCATTCGCCACTAAGTGGCGGTGACGTCACCACGACGCTTGTGCCAGGCCATGTGCACCTTGAGGCCACGTAAAGTGTCGAACACCCGCTGGCAAGAGGTCATGGGGAAGACCCAGGTGTCACGGGTCGACTGAGATGACTGGCCGATGCATCACCTGTGCCCCCTACTATGCCAATTTGCTGTGCGTTAGCCACCCGGCGCTCCGCTCATTGTTGTGAGCATCGCTTCTCCGCCCTCCGTTGTTGTTGGAGGGCGACTGCCTTCAACTGCCCAGTAGCATCCTTCATGAGCATCCTCCACAGAGGCCGATCTTAACACCGCTGGTACCAGTCATCGGCAAGTCCACTCAGCTCCACATCCTTCTGTACCACATCACTCCATCTCTTCTCTAGTCCGTGCCACGCCCATTTAGCCCCCTTGATCCGGTCAAACAAAAGCTGTTTAGGCATACGGTGGCTGGGCATGTGGGCTACATGACCCAGCCAACGCTGCCTTGTCTGCCGGAGGAGCTCACTGATTGGACTTTGTCCAGATCTTTAAATGATTTGTCACCTCACACAATCCAGCCTGGTTAAACCCGGGATGGATAGTTGCCAGGCCAGCCTAAATGTTTCTAACTGGCGAAGAGGTTCCATTCGGGGGGTCCACGTTTCGCAAGCGTAGAAAAGGGAGGGAATGACTGTGGCCGAGAAGACCTGAAGCTTCGTGTGGAGTGACAGACCAGGTAGCTTCCACACAGTGTTAAGCAACCGATATAAAAGATATTGCCGCTCGACTGATTCGGAGTGAGACCTCTGGTGTCAAACCGGAGCCGGTCATGAGCACACTTCCCAGGTATGGGAAACCCTCTGTAAGAGCCATAAGACAGAAAGTGAGTGTATTCTTTATGTATATACATTTGATGTACATCCGTCGTACATTTGTTGATGGACCGGTTATATTTGATTTGGAATATTCCAACTGTGTAGAAACCCCCCTGTGGTTAGACGCTCCGTTGGTTGAACCCATTACGTCAATTCCGGTTTTTACAGTATAAATGGGGGGCTATGAGAAGAGCCGATGGGGAGCGAGTGGATACAGTCTTTTGACCGTGTCATCTGAAGACCTTGTTGTCACCCTGTCAAGAGATCTCCGAACTTTGTGTTCTAGTGAGGGATTCAACTTGACAAAGTGGATAAGCAACAGCAGAGTTGCCACACCGTCTATCACAGAAGAAGAAAAAGCCATAAAGGTGGATAAGATGCTCGGACAAGAACATCAAGTCTTGCTCGAAGAGTCTACCTTTTGGATGGATAGCACGACAGTGCTGAAGTACATAGAGAATGACACCAGTCGTTCCTAGACCTTTGTGGCAAACAGGATCGCTACAATCTGTGAGGCCACAGAACCGACCCATTGGAAGTATATCAATACCTTAGTAAACCCAGCAGATCATGCTTCAAGAGGTTTGAAAGCTGATAACTTCATAAAAAGTGAAAAATGGATTCACGGACCCAAATTCCTGTGGATGGCTCCAAGTGAATGGCCAGAACGACCAATTCAAATGAGTCAAAACTCAAATGATGAGATCAAGAAGTCGGTAACAGTCAATCTCCTCAGTATCAAAGATAACTCTTATCCAGTGAACAGACTTGTCAATCACTACTCAAGTTGGTATCCACTGAAGAGAGCAATGGTATGGTTTTTCCAACTGAAAGCGATTCTGCTGCATTTGAGAAGTAAATTAAAAGAGTATCGAGCTACAATCAGTCAGGCTGAAAGTAACTCCGAGAGGCAGAAGATACTTCTCAAGCAGTGCATGCAGAAACTCAAAGCAACACTGCAAAAGGAACTGCTTACAGTGGAACATTTGACCCAGGCTGAGATCGACCTAATCCGCTTCAGCCAGAAGAATTATCAAGACCATGCCAGACTCCAAGAGTTCAGTCTGTCGTGTGTGTTAAAACGAAGTTCAGCACACTAGAGCGACCTATTATGAAGCTCTATCTGTTACAAGAAACAGCATGAATGTATACAGATAAGATAAAGAGAAGGCTCAAGAAAGCCAATAAGTAGCAGAAATACAAGAAATTATTATTGTTATAAGTAAATATTATTATTTAGAGTTTGTGGCTCTTAAGGTTAAAGTTAAGAGTAATTGGTATGCTCCCTGCCTAGCCAATTAGGGGCTGGTAATGTAAGTGCCATAAGACAGAAAGTGAGTGTATTAATTCTGTATATATATTTTGATGTACATCCGTCATACATTTGTTGACGGACTGGTTATATTTGATTTTGAATATTACAACTGTGTAGAAACCCCCCTGTGGTGAGACGCTCCGTTGGTTGAACCCATGACGTCACTTCCGGTTTTTACAGTATAAATGGGGGGGCTATGAGAAGAGCCGGTGGGGAGCGAGTGGATACAGTCTTTTGATCGTGTGACGACGTGACGCAGTACGTGCGACGAAGTGACGCAGTACATGCGACGAAATACCCAGGCAGGTGCTTAGTTTTGATGGGGCTGATGGTAAGGCTGATTATAGACTCACAGTCACTCAACAACAACAACCGCCATTCGCCACTAAGTGGCGGTGACGTCACCACGATGCTTGTGCCAGACCATGTGCACCTTTAGGCCACGTGAAGTGTCGAACGCCCGCTGGCAGGAGGTCACGGGGCAGACCCAGGTGCCACGGGTCGACTGAGATGACTGGCTGATGCACCACCTGTGCCCCCCTATTGTGCCAACCTGCTGTGCTTTAGCTACCCGGCGCTCCGCTCGTTGTTGTGAGCGTCGCTCCTCCGCCCTCCATTGTTGTTGGAGGGCGACTGCGCCCAACTGCCCAGTAGCAGCGTCCTTCACGAGCCCCTCCACACAGTCACTCACCCACACACTCACCGACACATCCAATTAGCACGGTGGGCTATGTACGGTGCAAAAGAAGTTCACTGTGCATGCATTCCTACGACGCAGATGATCTTACAATGCACGAACCCGGCTCCTCCTCCTCCTCAGAGTGGGACTGCGGAGAGAACATCTTCATGTCCAGCAACCCACGGTCATGGGACGAGGTGGTGCACAGCTGGTACGACGAGGTGACCTCCCCCGGCTTCCAGTACGGCAAGGGGGCTACGGGGCCAGGTGCCGTGGGACACTACACTCAGGTGAGGGGCCACGCTCGCCACCACCACGCTCACCACCACCACCACCACGCTCACCACCACCACCACGCTCACCACCACCATCACCACCACCACGCTCACCACCACGCTCACCACCACCACGCTCACCACCACGCTCACCACCACCACCACGCTCGCCACCACCACGCTCACCACCACCACGCTCACCACCACCACCACCATCACGCTCACCACCACCACCACCACGCTCACCACCACCACGCTCACCACCACCACGCACACCACCACCACGCTCACCACCACCATGCTCACCACCACGACCACGCTCGCCACCACCACGCTCACCACCACCACGCTCACCACCACCACCACCATGCTCACCACCGCCTCGTACGCACGTTGCGACTTCGTACGTAGTCAACTGTGCTCATCGGAGGCGCAGGGCGACGTCAACGTCTGTTGTTGTATGTGTTGTTGTCTGTGTTGTTGTCGTCAGTGTTGTTGGTGTTGTTGTCGGTGTTGTTGTCGTCGTCACTGTTGTTGTCGTCGGTGTTGTCGTCGGAGTGGAAGACGCCAAGCGCCGTTCTCGCGCCTTTTCTTGATGCGGGGTGGGGGAGGTGGTGGTGAGGGTGGTGGTAGTGGTGAGGGTGGTGGTGGTGAGGGTGGTGGTGGTGAGGGTGGTTGTGGTGAGGGTGGTGGTGAGGGTGGTGGTGGTGAGGGTGGTGGTGAGGGTGGTGGTGATGACGGTGGTGGTGATGAGGGTGGTGGTGGTGAGGGGGTTGGTACAGATATAATGGGAGGCTGATCGATGCCCGGGTGCGGTCAAGGGATGGCTCCCTATTGCTCAACGAGGTTATGTATGCTGATGATCTGGTAATAGCTGCTCACTCAGAGGAGGAGTTGGAGGCGCTGCTGCTGAAACTGGAGCGTGCCACTAAGAGGTGGGGCCTTACCATCAACCCCACCGAAACGAAGCACCTGCCTGGGTATTTTGTACCATCGGACACTCCACCCCCACAACTCCCAATCGGTGATGGGGCAGTTGTGGAGAGAGTATAGAGTTTCCCATACCTGGGCAGTGTGCTCATGACCGGCTCCGGTTTAACAGCAGAGGTCTCACTCTGAATCAGTCGAGCGGCATTATCTTTTCAACGGTTGCGTAACGCTGTGTGGAAGCTACCTGATCTGTCGCTCCGCATGAAGCTTCGGGTCTTCTCGGCCACGGTCATTCCCTCCCTTCTCTACGCTTGCAAAACGTGGACCCCCCTAATGGAACATCTTCGCCGGTTAGAAGCATTTAGGCTGGCCTGCCTACGATCCATCCTGGGTTTAACCAGGCTGGTTTGTGTGAGGAGCTCACAAATCCTTGAAAGATCTGGACAAAGTCCCATCGGTGAGCACCTCCGGCAGGCAAGGCTGCGTTGGCTGGGCCATGTAGCCCGCATGCCCAATCAACGCATGCCCAACCAGGTTTTGTTCGGCTGGATCGAGGGGGCTAAACGGGCGCGGCACGGGCTAGAAAAGAGATGGAGTGATGTGGTACAGAAGGATGTGGAGCTGAGTGGACTTGCTGATAACCGGTACCAGCGGCGTCAAGATCGGCCTCTGTGGAGGAGGCTCGTGAAGGACGCTATTGGGCAATTGGAGGCAGTCGCCCTCAAACAACAATGGAGGGCGGAGGAGCGACACTTACAACAACGAACGGAGCGCCGGGTGGCTATAGCACAGCGAGTTGGCACAGTAGGGGGCACAGGTGGTGCATCAGCCAGTCATCTCAGTCATTTCAGTGAGTCGACCCGTGGCACCTGGGTCTGCCCCGTGACCTCCTGCCAGCGGGCGTTCGACATTTCATGTGGCCTCAAGGTGCACATGGCCTGGCACAAGCGTTGTGGTGACGTCACCGCTACTTAGTGGCGAATGGCGGTTGCTGTGTGTGTGTGAGTGCGTGAGGAGTGGTGGCGCAGCGGTTAGCGGGCTGCGCTACAAGCGAATGGCGGTTGTTGTTATTGAGGGTCGTGAGGGTGGGGTCTGCAAACTGCACCCTGTAGCGGTCAGCCACCCCATGCACACAGCCGCCCCGTGTGATCGCTTAACTCGCACCCCCCCCCCCTCGGTGTTCGCGTGCCCCCCCCGCACCCCCCCAGGTGGTGTGGTACAAGTCCCACCAGGTGGGTTGCGCCGTGAACTACTGCCCCAACCACCCCGGCGACTTGAAGTACTTCTACGTGTGTCAATACTGCCCAACGTGAGTTAGCGGACCCCCCCACCCCCTAACACGCCCCCAACACCCCCCAAAACCTCCCCCACCCACTCCCCAACACCCCCCAACACCCCCCAACACCCCCCCCCCACCCACCCCCCAACACCTCCCCAACCCACCCCCCAACACCCCCTAACACCTCCCCCACCCACTCCCCAACACCCCCCCCACCATCCTCCCTCCTGCGTGCAGAGGAAACCTGGACACCAGGATCAACAAACCCTACGACCTGGGGACTCCGTGCCAGGCCTGCCCCCATAGCTGCGACAACAACCTGTGCAGTGAGTTACACGCACCCACACCCACGCACCCACCCACGCACCCACCCACGCACCCACCCACGCACCCACGCACGCACGCACCCACGCACACACCCACGCACTCACCCACACCCACACACCCACACCCACACACCCACGCACCCACCCACGCACCCAACCACCCACGCACCCACCCACACACCCACACGCACACCCACGCACCTACGTGCACACCCACGCACACCCACTCACCCACGCACACACCCATTCACCCACCCACGCGCACATCCACGCACGGCATAAATACAAAGATCCCCCTTATAGACAAAACAGACTGTTGGGGAAAGTGCTGTTAGCGAGCAGCATCTATGAAGGCCGGAACGGTACGCGAGGAGGTGGGCGGCCAGCACCACGCCCGGCCGCTTTTGCCTCCCCAGAGGCGACGATGTTTACACACCGCCCCAGGTACTCGTTTGAGGCCGAGTCGACCTAGGGGAGGAGGCCCAGGACCGGTTCAGATAACCGTCACTTGTGTTGGCCGTGATCGGGAATCGAACTCGGGTCGCCGGGCTCGTAGCGCAGCGCGCTAACCGCTACGCCACCGCTCCTCACACACTCACACACACACACAGACTCACACACACACACAGACTCGCACACAACAACCGCCATTTGCCACTAAGTAGCGGTGATGCCACCACGACGCTTGTGCCAGGCCATGTGCACCTTGAGGCCACGTGAAGTGTCGAACACCCGCTGGCAGGAGGTCACGGGGCAGACCCAGCTGCCACGGGTCGACTGACTGAGATGACCGAGATGACTGGCTGATGCACCACCTGTGCCCCCTACTGTGCCAACTTGCTGTGCTTTAGCCACCCGGCGCTCCGCTCATTGTTGTGAGCGTTGCTCCTCCACCCTCCGTTGTTGTTGGAGGGCGACTGCCTTCAACTGCCCAGTAGTGTCCTTCATGGGCCTCCTCCACAGAGGCCGATCTTGACACCGCTGGTACCAGTCATTGGCAAGTCCAATCAGCTCCACATTCTCCTGTACCACGTCACTCCATCTCTTCTTTCGTCCGTGCCGCGCCCGTTTAGCCCCCTTGATCCAGTCGAACACAAGCTGTTTAGGCATACGGTGGCTGGGCATGTGGGCTACATGACCCAGCCAATGCAGCTTTGCCTGCCGGAGGAGCTCACCGATTGGACTTTGTCCAGATCTTTAAAGGATTTGTGACCTTTCACAATCCAGCCTGGTTAAACCCAGGATGGATCGTAGGCAGGCTAGCCTAAATGTTTCTCACCGGCGAAGATATTCCATTCGGGGGGTCCACATTTCGCAAGCATAGAGAAGGGAGGGAATGACTGTGGCCGAGAAGACCTGAAGCTTCGTGCGGAGTGACAGACCAGGTAGCTTCCATACAGTGTTCAGCAACCGATAGAAAAGATATTGCCGCTCCACTGATTCGGAGTGAGACCTCTGCTGTTAAACCGGAGCCGGTCATGAGCACACTGCCCAGGTATGGGAAACTCTCTACTCTCACCACAACTGCCCCATCAAAGATTGGGAGTTGTGGGGGTGGAGTGTCCGATGGTACAAAATACCCAGGCAGGTGCTTAGTTTTGGTGGGGCTGATGGTAAGGCCCCACCTCTTAGTGGCACGCTCCAGTCTCAGCAGCAGCGTCTCCAACTCCTCCTCTGACTGAGCAGCTATTACCAAATCATCAGCATACATAACGTGGTTGAGCAATAGGGAGCCATCCCTTGACCGCACCCGGGCATCGATTAGCCTCCCATTATATCTGTACCATATGGAGATTCCCCCGGTACAGCTATTGAAGGCTTCACGAACTACGTGGTCAAAATAGATGTTAAATAATGTGAGAGCCAGAGGACATCCCTGTCGCACCCCAAGGTGTACAGGGAAGGGCTCTGACTCCCGGCCACGTAGTTTTACCCGGGCCCGCTCACCATCCTGAAGGTCCTTAATGATCGTGAGCAGAGGGTCAGGTACTCCAAAAGCACGAAGAACAACTCAGAGCCCAGGCCTACTGATGGTATCATAGGCCTTGACCAGGTCAATAAAGCAGAGATGTAGGTCTTGTTGGAATTCCCTACACCTCTGCTGTAGCAAACGGACAGAAAATATGGCATCTGTGCAGGACCGCCCTTTTCTGAAACCGCATTGGGGCTCCGCAAGCCTCTCCTCAGCGTGCCTGGCAAGGCGATGATGAATAATCCTTGCCAGGACCTTTTCCGGCACACTGAGGAGTGAGATGCCCCTGTAGTTGTTACAGTCTGTGCGGTCCCCCTTCTTCTTAAAAAGGGGGACCACCAGGGCATCCTTCCAATCCTGCAGAACCCGTCCAGTGGTCCAGACTGTTGTTATGATGTCATATAGGGCAGTCTGTGCACAAACGCCACCCTCCCTCAGCATTTCGCTTGGGAGATCATCTCTGCCCGCTGCCTTTCCTGGTCTCAGACTCCGGATCACCTTCAGTACTTCCTCAACAGATGGCACCTCAGCCAGCGCACTCACAACGAGTGACTTCTTCCAATAATTGAGGCACCGCAGCCTCAGCAGGGTCATCCTCACTTTGTGCCACGATGTTTTCCTGGCTGAGGGATTTTCCCTCCCCCAGGACCTCACAGAAATGCTCAACAAATCTGCAAACCTGTTCCTGGTGGTCGGAGATTGGATCACCGTTTTTTCCCCTAATGATGGTAATAGATATGGCGCTGCAGGTTACTTTTTTGATGGAGTTAAATAGAGATTTGTGATCACGGGCCACTGAGGCAGACTCCATCTCCTCAGCAACCCGCGACCACCACCCATCCTTGCAGCGCCTCACGGCTCTCCGAACCTCCGAGCGAAGGCTGCGGTAAGCCTCCTCATTCTCTGACGTGGGATTCTGTAGCCGATGACAGTGGGCCTGTCGCTTTTTCTCAACCATCCTGAACACCTCCTCTGTCAGCCAGGGTCTCTGGGGAGGTCTGGACCGCGTACCCAAAGCAGCCATTGCAGCTGCATGAGTCACAGTCCTAAACCTCGCCCATTTACCCTCGACATCAGGAGGAGTCGGGGACGATGCCAATCCCAGCCGCAAGTGATGATGAAATTCTCGCTTGCGACTTTCATCAGATAACTGAGATCAGGCCACTTTAGGTTGGAATGGGGTCCTGGGTGTACACCCACCACCGGAGTGGAAGAATGGCAGGCGCATCTTACAGATGACTAGTCGATGGTCAGAGGGCAGATCAGCTCCACGGTAGGTCGTGGTGTCAAGGACATGGGCTCGCATCTGATGGTTTGTCACTATGTAGTCCAGCAGATGTTCTTGCTTGGACCCGGCATGCATCCATGATGTTGTGTGGATGCGCCGATGCCGGAACAGCGTGTTGGTAATTACAAGCCCATGGGCTGCACAAAAATCTAGCAGCCTCCTACCGTTGTTATTGAGCTGATCTGGCCCATGCCCTCCAATCACTCCAGACCAGGTGCCAGCATCATGACCAACTCGGGCATTGAAGTCACCCAACATGATGACTCTATCCCGAGGGGCCACTTTAGCCAGCACCTGTGACAGGAGGTCAGAGAAGGCATCTGACTCATCGGCTTTGCCTGCATCCCTCCACGGATGTTCATCTTCGGTGGGGGCATAAGTAACCACGACCACCATTCCTCGCCTCCGGTTGATGGGAAGGCGAGCCCAAAGTAGCCTGGGGCTTACAGCTTCCCACACCTCACCGCCACGCTCCCACGCCCCCTTCATTTTTTTGTTCAAAAGAAGAGCCACACCCTGTTGTTTGGCAGTCTGCTGCCCCGAGTAGAGGACTGTCCACCCCTCACGGTGGCAGGAGCCAGAACCGGTCCACCGGACCTCCTGAATGCCACATAGATCCAGGCGGTACCGGTCCAGCTCCCGACAGAGGAGTGGCAGCCTCTCCTCCGCAGTTAGCGTTCGAACATTCCATGTGGTCACCCGTAGTGGTTTTTCGTTGTTTCTGGAGGAGCCCCGAGGGTAGATATTCAATCTCCTGGCTCCGCCAATTGGGGTTTGGCCAGGAGACGTCATAGACGCCTTGCCCCCTGGGGCCTCCGGCACAAGCTTATTAGTTATATACTTAATTCGCGGTTTAGTGGTAATTAATTGAAGGTGGAGGGGTTACCAGCCCCTCGCACCCGTCCAGAGCCCCCGTTTAGCTCCTGTGGTGGACACAGATGCCATGAGGGGAGGAGCCAATCGAAATTGGACCTCCCACAACAGAGTTGCCCGTCCGGCACACAGACACGCACACATAGACACACAGACTCACACACAGACACACAGACACACACACATACACACACACAGACACACACACAGACACACACAGACACACACACACAGACACACACACAGACACACACACAGACACACACACACAGACACACACACACACAGACACACACACAGACTCACACACAGACACACACACAGACACAGACTCACACACACACAGACACACAGACTCACACACACAGACACACAGACACACACACAGACACACAGACACACGCACGCACGGCCGCGTTGTATTGGGCGGCGCAGTGACGGCACCCGCCTCACAGCAAGAGGCCCCTGGGTTCGATTCCCAACTCGGGTGCCTCTCTCCGTGTGGAGTCTGTACGTTCTCTATCTCTCTCTGTCGCTCTCCCTGTTCCGCGTGTGGCTTTCCGCCGTGTTCTCGGGATTCCTCCTGCCAGAGCTAGAAAATACAAAACAATGTCACCGGTATTGGCCACGCATCCCGATGCTGCAACGTTAGCCGGCAGATCACGTGACTGGGATCACGCAGCAGCAGCAGCGGTAGCAGCGGCGGCGGCGGCAGCACTCCCATTCTGTGCAAGCTTTGAAATCCACTCCTGAGTCTTGAAGACTCCGTTAAGGCTCTCCTGGGGGTAGATAAGCAAGTGACAAAAGTAATAATTATAATAATAATGATCACCTTCCACAACGTACTTTCGGGTCTATCGGCTGATCGACACCGTAGTATTTTACGAGCTTGTTCTCATTTATCAAGAAAATTATTTCTGTCTCAGTCACAGCCCCGACGGGTCGACGCGATGTGCCCACGAACAAAGCACGTGACTCACCGTCACCACCCACGTCACTCACCGTCACCAGCCACGTGACTCACCGTCACCACCCACGTCACTCACCGTCACCAGCCACGTCACTCACCGTCACCAGCCACGTCACTCACCGTCACCAGCCACGTCACTCACCGTCACCAGCCACGTCACTCACCGCCACCACCCACGTCACTCACCGTCGCGAGCGAGCGCTTGCAGGTGGCCGGGATGCGCCTCCGTCCGCTCCACGGCCTTTTCTCAACAACAGCGAACACGACGAACCTCGCGCGGCGAATTCGCTCCCTCGCTCGCTCGTGCGCCTGCCGCTCACCTCTCGCCGCCCCCCCTTGAACTCCGCAGCCAACCCGTGCCCCTACGCGGACAAGTACAACAACTGCCGGGAGCTGTTCAACACCTACGGCTGCGGGAACAACAGCGGGGGAACCTTCGTGCAGGCCAACTGCCCGGCCACGTGCAAGTGCAGGACGGAGGTGCAGTGATGGAACCTCGTCGCCCCTCGCTCCACCCCCACCCCCCTCGCTCCCCCCCACCCTCTCGCTCCCCCCCACCCTCTCGCTCCCCCCCACCCTCTCCCCCCACCCCCTCGCTCCCCCCACCTCCTCGCTCCCCCCCACCCCCTCACTCTACCCCCACCCCCCTCGCTCCCCACCACCACCATCACTACCATCACCACCACGGCACCACCTTGTAGAAGTCGCCGCGCGCCCCCCTCTCTCTGCACCCCCCCCCCTCCCTGGCCACCGCTCCACGCAAAGCCACGGCTCCCCCCTGCCCCCCCCCCGCCCCCCCCCCCCGGCCCGCTCGTCCACGCGTCTCTGAACCACCGACCGACGCCGCCCTGCGACGGGGCGGGGCCCACGTGCGCGTGGCTCAAGATGGTCGCGCGAAGCCTTCGCGGAACCGGGCCGCGCGTCCGCGCCGTTCGTCGTGAGCGCTCAACGCGAGCCCCAACGAATAAAGTCGAACGACTGCCGGGGGGTGCCGCTTCGCACAGGGCGTCTGGCTTGCTGTTTGTGTGTGTGGGTGTGCACGTGCGTGTGTGTGTGTGCGTGACTGTGCATGCACATGTGTGTGTGTGTGCACGTGTGTGTACGTGCGTGCGACGTCGTCGTCGGTAGCGGCGCAGTGGGGGGAGGGGGTACAGCTGGTGGTGGCATCTGCCAGTCAGCTCAGTCGGTCAACCCATGGCACCTAGGTCTGTCCCGTGACGTGCCGTCAGCGAGCCTTCGACATTTAACGTGGCCTCAAAGCGCACGTGGCCTGGCACAGGCGCCGTGGCTGGCGTCACCGTCACTTAGTGGTGACTGGCGGCTGTTGGTATGGGCAGTGGCGTGTTTGATGGCAGAGGCGTGGAGAGCAGAGTTCAGCCAAACTGCGTGAAGCCCGGCAGCGTCAGGAAACATTGATCATCAGGAAAAGGGAGCGTGCACACACAACGACCACGTGACGGTGAGCAGAGCAAACCAACCGCGTCGGTTTTGCTAAAATCCCCAGCGACCCTCTGTCCACGCAGCTTCACATCCGTGCTGGAAAAATTCCATATCCCACACGCGTGCTGGAAAAATCCCGAATCCCACACCCGTGCTGGAGAAATCCCGAATCCCACACCCGTGCTGGATAAATCCCAAATCCCACACGCGTGCTGCAGAAATCCCAAATCCCGAACTCGTGTGGAGAAATCCCGAATGCCACAGCGTGCTGGAGAAATCCCAAATCCCACACTCGTGCTAGAGAAATCCCAAATCCCACAGCGTGCTGGAGAAATCCCACAGCGTGCTGGAGAAATCCCAAATCCCACAGCGTGCTAGAGAAATCCCAAATCCCACAATCGTGCGGGAGAAATCCCGAATCCCACAGCTGTGCTGGAGAAATCCCAAATCCCACAGCGTGCTGGAGAAATCCCAAATCCCACAGCGTGCTAGAGAAATCCCAAATCCCACAGCGTGCTAGAGAAATCCCAAATCCCACAGCGTGCTAGAGAAATCCTAAATCCCACAGCGTGCTAGAGAAATCCCAAATCCCACAGCGTGCTAGAGAAATCCCACAGCGTGCTAGAGAAATCCCAAATCCCACAGCGTGCTAGAGAAATCCCAAATCCCACAGCGTGCTAGAGAAATCCCAAATCCCACAGCGTGCTAGAGAAATCCCAAATCCCACAGCGTGCTAGAGAAATCCCAAATCCCACAGCGTGCTAGAGAAATCCCAAATCCCACAGCGTGCTGGAGAAATCCCACCAACACCCACCACCACCAACTACCACCAACCAAATACCAGCACCATCCACCACCACCACCACCAACCATCCACCACCACCACCAACCAAATACTACCACCACCCACCAACCACCAACACCCACCACCACCAACTACCACCAACTAAATACCACCAACCACCACCACCCACCACCACCAACCACCAACACCCACCACCAACTACTACCACCAAATTCTACCACCACCATCCACCACCACCACCACCCACCACCACCAACACCCACCACCACCAACTACCACCAACCAAATACCACCACCAACCACCACCAACCATCCACCACCACCAACCAAATACCACCACCAACCAACCACCACAAACCACCACCACCAACCACCAACACCCACCACCACCAACTACCACCAACCAAACCACCACCATCCACCACCACCAACCATCCACCACCACCACCAACCAAATTCCACCACCATCCACCACCACCACCACCCACCAACCACCACCACCAACACCCACCACCACCAACTACCACCAACCAAATACCACCATCACCACCAACCAACCACCACTAACCACCACCAACCATCCACCACCACCAACCACCCACCAACCACCAACACCCACCACCACCAACTACCACCAATCAAATACCACCACCATCCACCACCACTAACCACCACCACCCACCTACCAAACGCGGCCGCCGCTCTGCGTCGACGTCCATCCGGACGGAGAAGGCGAAGACGAAAAGAAGTGGAGGAGGTGTCGCACAGAGACCGGGACGAGGTGAGATACAACAACCCGGTCCTGGGAGTGGACTCGTCTCGCCTCGTCGTTGCAGGAGCGTTGTTGGCTACCTCAGTCAGCGCCGTCAGCGTTAGATGGATCGTGTTTGTGTACAGGCGAGGCTGTGATACATTTGGGGAGTGTGTGGACGAGACGGTGAACGGTGTTGATAAAGAAGGTGCCCTCTTACAAACCTTGTCTCCGAATCGTTGACGCGACACATACATAGACTCGCATAGTCGCTCGCCCACACATTCACCCATCCGATTAGCACGGTTGGCTACGTACGGTGCGAAAGAAGTTCAACGTGCACACTTATGCGTAAAGTCGAATTGCTTGGACTGTTTCACTCCATGAAATCCTCCCATCGTGCCCCCCCCCCCCCAAAAAAAAACTCTGACAACACCAATAACCTTACTCGGTTCTAGAACTGTGCAACGCTCTCCTATCCATTGCACCTTCATCATGAGTTGTCGTTTGTTGCTGGCCCCGTTCAATCTGTTCTCTGTCTCACTCTCTCCCCGGCACGGCGGCGGAAACGAGCGGCTTCATTAAAATGCCACTGCCGCTGTCCACCCAGCAGTGCTGATGGGTTCACTGCTGATTGCTGATCGGCAGGTCGCGTGCGGTTGAGGCTGAGTCGACCTAGGGGAGACCCAGGACCGGTTCAGATATTCGCCACTGGGTGTTGGCCGTGAGCGTGAATCGAACTCGGGTCGCCGTGGTCGTAGTGCAGCGTAGCGCTGACCGCTACACCAACCACCAACCACTACCACCACGGCCACCAACCAACCACCACCCACCAACCACCAACAACCACCACCACCAACTACCACCAACTAAATACCACCAACCAGCACCACCCACCACCACCAACCACCAACACCCACCACCAACACCCACCACCAACTACAACCAACCAAATACCACCACCACCATCCACCACCACCACCCACCACCACCAACCACCAACACCCACCACCACCAACTACCACCAACCAAATACCACCACCATCCACCACCACCACCACCACCAACCATCCACCACCACTACCACCAACCAAATACCACCACCACCCACCAACCACCAACACCCACCACCACCAACTACCACCAACTAAATACCACCACCATCCACCACCACCACCAACCATCCACCACCACCAACCAAATACCACCACCAACCAACCACCACAAACCACCACCACCAACCACCAACACCCACCACCACCAACTACCACCAACCAAACCACCACCATCCACCACCACCACCACCAACCATCCATCACCACCACCAACCAAATACCACCACCAACCAACCACCACCCACCAACCACCAACACCCACCACCACCAACTACCACCAACTAAATACCACCAACCACCACCACCCACCACCACCAACCACCAACACCCACCACCAACTACTACCAACCAAATACCACCACCACCATCCACCACCACCACCACCAACCACCAACACCCACCACCACCACCAACTACCACCAACCAAATACCACCACCACCAACCATCCACCACCACCACCAACCAAATACCACCACCAACCAACCACCACCCACCAACACCCACCACCACCAACTACCACCAAATAAATACCACCAACCACCACCACCCACCACCACCAACCACCAACACCCACCACCAACTACTACCAACCAAAAACCACCACCACCATCCACCACCACCACCAACTACCACCAACCAAATACCACCACCATCCACCACCACCACCAACCATCCACCACCACCACCACCACCAACCAAATACCACCACCAACCAACCACCACAAACCACCACCACCAACCACCAACACCCACCACCACCAACTACCACCAACCAAACCACCACCATCCACCACCACCAACCATCCACCACCACCACCAACCAAATACCACCACCAACCAACCACCACCCACCAACCACCAACACCCACCACCACCAACTACCACCAACTAAATACCACCATCACCACCACCCACCACCACCAACCACCAACACCCACCACCAACTACTACCAACCAAAAACCACCACCACCATCCACCACCACCACCAACTACCACCAACCAAATACCACCACCATCCACCACCACCACCAACCATCCACCACCACCACCACCACCACCAACCAAATACCACCACCAACCAACCACCACAAACCACCACCACCAACCACCAACACCCACCACCACCAACTACCACCAACCAAACCACCACCATCCACCACCACCAACCATCCACCACCACCACCAACCAAATACCACCACCAACCAACCACCACCCACCAACCACCAACACCCACCACCACCAACTACCACCAACTAAATACCACCATCACCACCACCCACCACCACCAACCACCAACACCCACCACCAACTACTACCAACCAAATACCACCACCACCACCAACAACTACCACCAATCAAATACCACCACCATCCACCACCACTAACTACCACCACCCACCCACCAAACGCGGCCGCCGCTCTGCGTCGACGTCCATCCGGACGGAGAAGGCG